AGTGGCTTAGAGTAGTAGGATTCTGGATCCGAGTTTCTGACACGCAGCAAATATCGATTCCTAAAGATTACATTGTACGAGTCAGATAAGCTTGTTGACCTAGCTGCATTAAAGTCCTCACGTTAAAGGCCCCCAGATTAAGTGATTGACGATGCTTTAGAATCTGCAATCCATTTAGTGGTAAATTGATTGCAGTGCTATTTGGCAATGTCCTTTGGCGAACGACATCTAAGTTGCTTGAGGGACTATTACAGGTCGGTAGAAGAGGTAAAAAGAGCGGGTTGGGAACGGAAGACAAAGAGTTAAACAAAGGTTGGGATATCTGATATCTCCAGTAGTGTATTGTACAATAATGTAACTGTGCATAGACGTCCATTTCAACTTTTCATGTAGATGGGTTGCTTTGATCAGGCATGTGAATCTGTTCCCTATCTTGCCTTGCAGATAAGGTTTTACCATTTCTGGAGCGTTGTACCGACGGAACTGTACGCCTAAAACACAGAGATAGTTCAACCCGGTCAATACTTGCGTATTCTTTCGGTTGGTGAATGGCTTCCTCCAGAATTATTAAAAGGAAACGCAGGCCGAACAACTATATTATTCTCTTCGATGATTTGCTTTCTAAATTTTCGAAGGTAAGATATTTTTTCACCAATGAATCTTCAGCTTTCCGGTCACTCTCAAATTACAGAACTTACTTCCCTCAAAATCTTGGATCTTCTCTGCGGTTGTCAGAATAAGTGGAGCTTAATTGACAACCGCATGAGAACCAGCTGCAAACTACTGAAAGAGGAGGTTAATCGGCTCAAGAATTTGCAAGTAAACATCAGTGATTGGCTTTTCTTGATTTTCTCAGAAAGAGACAGCTCAGATGTTGTGTAAAGAAACAGAATGTAGGAGACGTGCCGAACGCGCCAGGGATTCGCTCAGACGAAAAGTTAACGTGATACGAGAGGTGCTCGCGGCAAACGATGTCAACGAAGCGAAACGTCATCTGGACGATGTGGATCTATCTGCATTGACTCCAAACAAATCTTTCAACAATACTCGACTTGATCATTCTGCCGGATCCTTACTAGATCCGGTTAACGTTTCTGTTGAATCGACCAATGATGAAACCGTTCCAAATAAAAGGTCTGTTTCGCAAAATGTAGGTGTTAATTGCTTTATTCTCATCTGAGACCGCAACTTATAGAGAGTTCTTCATCCCATCCAATCAATGTATTAAATGGTTTGTTACTGCCAATCCCCGATCTAACACTAAGCTTTCACAACTATATACTTCACTTGTACTTTTCAGTATATCAATGTGTACCAAAATACCGTAGGTCCAGTACCAGGTCACCTGTGTTGGTTTGCCTTGAACTTACTAGTTTTTTAAATATTGCATGGAAAATTTTTCCTGGTTAATCCGTTTTGTAAAGTTTACTGTTGGTAAATCTTATCATACATTGTTTATTCAAGGTGCAACTCCTCGTGATGTGTGTGTGCCCTACTGATTGGTTCCATGAACTTTCTTATACTCGAAGAAGGCAGGATTTTGAGATAAGTGTGTCTAAGTGTGAGTGTATGTAGAACAAAGCACGGTTTGAACATGTACTCTAAGATCTTACTTGACTATATGAGCGTCACTTCTATCTCCTTACCGTCATCTTTTTCAGTTTACTCAACCAACCAGTTATAAAATCTTTCATATCAGCCCACTAGACGAAAGAAATAAGCCGTTTACCTTCTGTTCCTAGTCAATTCTCCACATCTCTTAACACCATCTCCTGACTTCAACACGGCCTTCCATTAGCGAAGCCCATTGGTGTTGGTTCGTTATAGTAAAATCTTCTACTGGATTTAAAAACACTATCCTGCTTTCCTCGTATGACCCTTGCGAAACTACTTCAAGAAGAACGGTTGAAAGCCTCCAGCCGTTGCTGTCTTCCACCTGCGTAGAACACAACTGACTATACTGTGTTATAGTGTAATAAATCCAGGAATCTTAGTGATCCAAAGCTTATGCTTCAACTCAGATTGGTGTCTTAGTCCGTAAAAGTAAACGGATTTAATCGATCCAAGTCTTTTCTTCCATTGATATCTTCGTCTTGTGTATTACTTTATTTGTTTTCATACACGCCTGAGTTCGTGCCATGTGCCAAACAAATCATGGTACAGTAATCTTTAGAAAAAGACATCAAGGCCCGTAATTTGCTCGAGAGCACGATACTGCTAGGTTGTCCAGGCCAAAGAAGGTGAATTTTCTTAGGGAATTCACAACCGGAGCCTTCAGGTAGCCAAAGCCTGACCCGCAAGACAGCAGAGTAGTGTGTGAAAGCCACAATCCATTGGGGGCCGATGTCCAGTTCATCGGATAACACGGGACAGGTTCGAACCGTCAAGGTGTCCAATACACCTCGATACCGAATCGAGCCGGTAAACAACTCGTGGGTTGGTTTGAAATCAGGGCTTTTAGTTAACTCCCCTAGATGAACTACCATTAGTTCACCAACCATGTTATAACCTCGGATATTGGCTTTTCGTCCGCTCACTTTGGTGGGAAAACACCTCTGCCAGGATAGTGCATGGTTATAAAAACTGAACTGAACTGAAAATCCGCCACGGGAAGGCAGTGAGTAGGGCTTCTTCAGCAGAGGCTATTGGAGACGCTTGGTCATGTGGGAGCATTTAGCGAAATGCAAGGGAGGGTCACCAGCCCCAACCCGAGATACCCACCCCGACCATACCTCGGCTTTCGGAGGCATCTTCGTTTTATGGTTGGGTTCTTGATAGAACTACAGGCTCTGACGGTAAACTGAAATCGTTCTCTCGCCTGGTGGTTTTACTACCTAACAATGTTCGTTTATCAAATTCCAATGAAAGGGAATTTCTTACTGTATCGGTCCTCGCCCAGGTTAATTAGGACCTGGCCGCTTGTTACATGAAATAATGTGAATTATTACCATTGGCCTACTGTTCAAGTATTCAAATATTTGTTTCGTTTATTTTTATCTTGGCCCTTGGCCCTACCTTCCAACCAATAGTACCACTTCAAAGAAATTTTTCGTTACTCGCCAAGATTCGTTACCGAATGGCACTAAAAGCAATACATTGTCGATTAAATCTTCAAGCCTGGAAATTCTTCAACGTCTTGATCACGTACCCCTCTATGTATGGACGCTCATCCAAGCGGCTTAACAAGCTTGTATTACTCGTCCAAAGAACTCCGGTGATACATGTCCGCTGCTTTTCGAAGATGCAAATTGAAAGCCGTTCAACTACCCAGGATCTGTACTCCGGGTCAAGCGTTTTAAATCGCTTTCACCGGCGTACTGTGGTCCCCAGGGTCTGAGGTTGGAACTCCACCACCACCCAAATTTGGCTTTAATCAGCTTCGTCTTCCTCCGACTCAACACCATGCCGAATCTAGTGGGGTTTCATGTGGTTCTACAATTAAATTTCCGGGGTTTGTGTTGCCGGCTTTCGTCAGTGAACAATAGGTTTTCGTGACCGAAATTTACCCCGTCTGTTGTTCCTCATACAAGGGTGGGTAATTATATCTCGAAGCAATGGAGCTCGTTCAGCTGTTATACGCTATATGGGACAATGCGGTGGAAATTCCGAAAGATTGTTTAAGTGTATGGCTCCAGGATCTAGTCAATGTTCGAAAGATAAGCAACACCAAACATTAATTCTTTCGCATCTCGTATGTCTCTACTGACTGTAGTTCTTATGCACCAAATGAATTCTGGAGAAAGCTCGCAGAACTCAC